GAGGATGGTGCTGGTCTCTTTTCAGTGGTGGCCACTGATCGGACTAGAGGAAATGGCCGGAAACTGAAACATCCAAAATTCCATAGGAACTTAAGGAAAAATTTCTTAACAGTGAGGGTGACAGAGCACTGGAACAGGCTGCCCAGAGAGGTTGTGGAGTCTCCTTCTCTGGAGATCTTCAAAACCCGCTTGGATGCAGTCCTGTGCCACGTGCTTTAGGTGACCCTGCGCATGCAGGGGGGTTGGACTAGATGATCTCTAGAGGTCCCTTCCAACCCTAAGCATTCTGTGATTCTGTGATTCCTCTTTTCCTAAAAATTAAAAACAAATCATAAGTGGAGTCTTTGCACCGGAGTGAAGACTTCATTCACTGTGCCATATCATGGAGGTGGCGGGGGTAGAAAAGTAGCATATCCTGCTAAACGTGATCCTTCTCGCATGAAATCCATCCCTCTTTGGCCAGCCTTGCATGAGGACAGTCTATTACAATGGCTGCTGTGGGCATTTTGCCTGCATTGCCCTAAGCCAGGACACCTCTCCTCATGGTGCCCCATCTACTACGCCCTGTTCCCATGCAGTGCTTGCCAGGTCACCATCACTGGCACTGCACACTGCCCACAGACAGGGTCCTGAAGAGTGAGCACAGCTCTGCAGAAGGACACCAGCAAGGGTGGCACTGCCCAATGTGGCAGTGTGCAGCTACCAGGCTTCCTCTACTTGCTGGATGTTTTCCTTGCTCCAAGGGAGGCCTGCTGGCCACCTGCCAAGACAAGATTGTACTGTTATGGGTGGAGGTATCCTGAAGGGAGGCTTTGGCCTGCCTTCCTGCCACAACACGATGGCCCCATCCATAAGAGCAAGAAACACACGTTGTGTCCAGTATGAGAGGCCTCCCTGAGTACCACTGAAAAGATTATGGACCCATCCTCTTCATGCCCTCCCTTCTGACATTTATATCCACTAATAGAAAGGACAACGTCAGGCTTCTTTTCTCCACACTGAATAGGCCCAGCTCTCTCCGCCTTTTCTTGTATAGCACGTGCTCCCATTCCTTCAGCATCTTAGGAGCCTTATGCTGGAATCACTCCAATAGCTCCAGGTCTCTCTTGTAGTGGGAAGCACAGCTCTGCACATGTGGTCTCATGAGGGTTTGAGTGAAGAGGGAGGCAGGATCCTCTCCCTCAACCTGCTGTCTATGCTCTGTCTAATACAGCTCAGGACGCCATTGACCAGCTTGGCCATGAGGACAAGTTGCTCTCCATCTACTTGTCCACCATGCCTGCCAGGTACCTCTCGGTAGGCTGCTTTCTGGCATGTCAGACCACAGCCTTTAGTGGGACGGGGGGTTACTCTGCCCCAGGTCCGATTCTGCCCTTCCCTCTATTTAACCTCATGAGGTTCCCCTCTTCCCCTATATCCTACCTGTTGAGCTCCTGAGACGCAGCACAGACCTTCTTGGGCTTGGTGGCCCTGCTGGCTGCTCTGCACCTAGGTGGGTGCTGGGGAGGTTACATATGATGATCACAAAGATAAAGCTCTGCCTATGACAGCACCCACGTGGAGTGGAGTCAACCTGGAGCATGCCCCTAGTCTTCCCAAGAGTAGAAGGGTCCAGGGCAGCACCGCCAGTCTTCTGTGCCCCTCAGTTTTGTCCCTAGAGCTCCTGAGTTGCTCTGGATTTCCTCCAGTCTCTGTAGCAGTGTCACTGAAATGAGACATAAATATACAAAAGCTTCATCTTATCAACGTATGAAATGCAGCTGGATGAGCAGATAGAGAAGCAGGAGGAGAGATACAAACTCTTCAGCAGCCCAGCAGATGCATGTGCTCTAAAAAACAGTGGCACTCAACCTGCCACAGCTGCTTCCTTGTAGGGCCATGTATGCAGCAGGGGAACCACCTCCTTCCTGCCTCAGAGCTCGGTGGGGCAAGCTTGATCTGCGTGGGGGCTTTTGGGCTGTGGATGTCACACTTGCAGGCACTCGAGCATACTTCCATTTACTTGCAGGCCTCCAGAAGAGGCAAGGGCCTTCCTGAAAATGTGCCATGGAGCCCTGGAAGAGGCCTGACTTGATGTCACCTTGGAGATTTCTCTCCCAGAGGCAGCCCCAGTGCCTGGTCTATGTGAATCGCTGCCAAGGGACCTGGTGCCAGGGTTAGTCCCACAGCATGTGGGAGACTGCAGCAGATGCTGCCCCAGGCAGGGCATGGTCCATATCTGGAACCTGTGCCGGGCTCCCTGGCACCTGGCACCATGTGCCAGATCCTGCCCCATACAGGCTCAGGCATAGGAAGGTCCCCTCACCCCCCTGCACCCGCTCCAAGCTACCCAGATGGGGAGCCATGCTCAGCTCACCAAACAGACCTCTTGATATAGCTGTGCAGACACCCACCCATTGGTGGGGCAGACATAATGCAAGAAGCGGATCCGAGCCGCATATATGGTCATGAGTGTGCCTGGAGAAGTTTATTGGAGGTTGGGGCTCCGTCAGATGGGAGATAACCCTCCTGATAACGTCTCAAAAGGTGTCTGTCGCATCGATTGGCTCCCTTCGCAGTGGGGTCTGTGCGTCTGCCTATATATTACCCTCCCAAGTACAGGAGCCTGTGGTGGCCCAGGAAGCAAGGGGGAGCTGGGGGCTATACCGAGTGCAGGAGGAGGTGGGATGGCCACTGCCAGCTTGTTCTTTAACAGGGCGCTGGGACTGCTGCTTTGCGTGCAGCTCTGCTGTGGTGAGTACATATGGGCTCCTTGGGGATGGAGCTGCCTGCCCTCATGCTGACAGTAGCAGGCAGCTCAGGAGGTGGGCAGTGGGATCACAATGGCAGGGCAGCCATGGGGGCTCTTGCTCATGCAGAAAAGTGCTGAGCACATGTGGCAAGAATCCTCCTGGGCCCTGTCCTCTGCTTACGAGCTTTCAGGGCATAAATACAGCCCTAGCTTTATTCTCATATGGCGTCCTGCAGTCCCCCACAAGGGCATCTTTTCACTCCTGCATGGGCACCCACAGGCACCAGGGAGCTGCGGCTGGTTGACGGAGGCAGCCGCTGTGCAGGACGAGTGGAGGTGAAGCATGAGGGCCAGTGGGGCAGTGTGTGCAGCTACGACTTCGCCTGGGATGTCCATGCAGCCTCTGTGGTCTGCAGACAGCTGGGATGTGGCACTGTGGCCAGGACCTCCCCACACACCCCTTTTGGCCCCGGGGCCGGACGGATCTGGCTGCACCCCATCTTGTGCCGTGGCACCGAGACAGCACTCCACGACTGCCCGCACTTCGGCTGGGGTCAGCACTTCTGTGATCACAAAACGGATGTTGGGGTGACATGTTCAGGTGAGGGATTGCTTGATCAAGCTGGGGTACAGCCTCTTCACTACGTGGGGTTCAGAGCCAACATGGCCAACCCCAGGGTCTCCCCAGGAGGGCCTTCCTGGGCACAGATGGGGTGCAGGAATGGAGTCAGTGCACAGCAGCCTCATGCCTTGTGGGCACCTCTGATGCAGATGCTGTGGAGATAAGGCTGGTGAATGGAAGTGGTCCTTGCGCAGGCAGAGTGGAGGTGAAGCTGCGAGGCCAGTGGGGGACAGTAGCGGACAACGAATGGGACATGGAGGACGCTGAGGTGGTGTGTCAACAGCTGGGCTGTGGCTCTGCCAAAAGTGCCCACGGATCAACTCATTTTGGGAAAGGATCTGGACCCATTCATCTGGCTTTGGTTGACTGTCATGGGAATGAGTCTGCCCTGTGGGAATGCACTGTTGTGGGATGGGGGCCATATAGTGGCCACCATGACTGGGATGTTGGTGTGATCTGCCAAGGTAAGAGCTATGGAATCACACCAGCTTGCCTCACTTCCGAGGCCAGCTTTGCCAGCACCAAGGCTCGCGGGCATCCCCTCCTCAAATCCCCAGCATTTTGCTGAGACCCTCAAGAGACCCTTTCCTCTCTTTCCTGGCAGGATTTGTGCAACTGGTTGGTGGGGACGGCACGTGCTCGGGCCGTGTGGAGGTCAGGCAGGGCCGAGAATGGGCCACCCTCTGCAAGGTCCACATGGATCTCAGTGCTGCCAACATCATCTGCAAGGAGCTGGGCTGTGGTG